AGGACTCAGACTTGTAATGAGTCAAAGATTCAAAACAAGCTCGATTCTTCGATATCAAACAGAAAAGAGCTTAGTAGATTTTGCGATCAATATGGATGCAAGGGAATAGAAGCCCCCTCTACCTCCAGAGGAAAGAAGGTTAAGACGCATCCAAAACCTTATCATTCATACAGGCCTAGAGAAACATATCGGAGTAAACCCGTGCAGTCTCAGAAGCCAACATATTCAAGAAGGAAGTATATTCCTACAAAAACCCATAAAGGAAAGAAAAAGCAAACTTTCTTCAAATGTCGTGAAGAAGGACACTATGCTAACAAGTGTTCAATCAGAGGAAAGATCAATGAGTTGGATATAGATCAAGAGCTGAAAAATCAGCTATTACGACTAACCCTAACCGACTCAGAGCAATCGAGCGAGGGAGAAATCCTCGAACTCCAAGAAGAATCTGATTCATATTCTAGCACAGAATACGAATCAGAACAATAAGGAAAAAGGACGTGCGAAAGATGCATAAATGTCCTTACCAAGGATCAAGAAATTCTACTCGAAGTAGTAGAAAAAGTTCAAGACCCAGAAATTCAACAGAAGATTGCTCAACGACTTAGAGATGCCATGACAATCTCTAAGCCACCTGAAAGGGAAGAAAGAAATCCCTACAGACTCCAATCTGTTCTCCAAGGATTTGAAAAACCGAGGGAACTCACTACTCAAGATTTACAAAGAGAGATTAATAATCTCAAACAAGAGGTACAGGCGCTAAGATCTGAAACTAGGTCAGAATCTTATACGCTTCGTCAAGAAATTCTCAATCTTCAGAAAAGGCTGCCCGCACAAAAAGAAACGGCGCAACCAAACCTGGATGAAGAAGATTTTCAAAGTTCATTCGTTGGAGCCATCACCACTTCTCAATTTCAAAAATGGTACGCTCTCGTTACCTTAAAAATTTATGATTTCAAAATCACACTAAAGGCTCTCATAGATACTGGAGCCGATCAAAATTGCATTCAAGAAG